ATTATTACCATAAGGAAATGTGGGAATCATGTGACAAAAGAAGTCTGGCCTTAAGCTTATAGCTGATGGTATATGGATTTTGATCTGGATGCATATATTATTTTCAATACCCATAAGGAAGAAGCATCTGAAGCAGTTTCCATTGCCCAGCAGTATATATTCACTCAGAGATATGCTGACTCCCATTCTGTCACAATAAATCCAAAGACACCTGGCTCATCTGAACATTTCACAGAGTATCATGTTAGAATGATAACACAAAGTTAATAGACCCAAGGAGTGTAAAAGTATTTTGCATAGTCAGTTAAGGGTAGCAGAAATAACCAGTGGCTTGAATAATGCTGTAGTTTTAGGGAGTCTAGTGGTTTAAGACATGGCGACATTTCTTCCAAGGAAAAGGAGTTACTCACCTTGCACTTTCAGTGCTAGATGAACAGAATGAACAAAATAAGAGTGTGCTAGACCTCTTCCAGTTTTAGAGGAAGGATGCATTATGCTTGAGAGTTTGTTTCTCCTTTTATAGGTGATCTAAAATATATCTCAATTTTGAGTGGATCCCAAAATAAAGCAGAAAAAAAAAAAAAAAAGCACTCCATAGCTGAGGTCAACTCCCTTTAGGACTCTGAGACATGGCCTAGTGATAATAATCAGAATAGCAATGCCTACAATATATACTTTTTCCCCAGACAAAACCCACTATTATTCGCTATTCAAAACTCTCAAATACTTCATTGACAGCAAGTACATAATCCATAGCAGTCAGTGGATTTATCACCATCCTATCTTTACTGTATAAAGGCTACTGACAACAAATAATATTAGAAGATACCAGGATCAATAATGAAAATGAATGTGACTGACCTTATTATGTAAAACAAGAAATGGAAAGAAGTGATAAAAGAAGAAAAAAAATCTTCAATGCAAATGCAAATATAAAGGAATAGAGACACTTTACATTTTTTTCTTCTTCTCATAATTTGTGAACAGTTCCATAGATTAATTTAAAAGGTAAGAGTTCAAGTATTTCCCAAGGTATGTAAAAAATTATAAAAATGTTTAATATTTAAAATCAAATACTGTAAAGAACCTAATATAATAAATTTGATCTTATTTATTGTAGAAACCAAAGCATGGGTCAAAACAATCCACTTCCATATAGCTATTTAATTTCCCAATGACAAAGCATTTCACATATATGTATAAAGAAGAAAAGAGCAAATATTGTCATTCCTTTGGAGACTGAAACCACCACTTTGGAGACTGTATAGCTTCAAGTAATTTAAAGTGAAGCTATCTCCTAATATACTTTATGGAAATGTACTAAGGTAATCTGGTATGTTACATGAAGTAAGAGTTTCTATTCTAATTCATTTGGGCATTTGAAAAAACATTTATGTTTATTTCTTAATGTGTCAAGTACTATGCTAGGTTTGGGGAATGAAATATTAGGCTCTGCTCCTAAGATCATACACATATCCACATTTACACACACATATGTATACAGGATTACAACTTAATACAATATACTGTTGATATAAACAAACTACTTTGACACCAAAAAAAAGTAGTCAGAAATTCTGAGTGATATTATATAAGACCTTAGAGAGAAGCTAATATATTCAATGGGACTATAAAAGATGAGAAGGATTTCATTAAGGAATAAAAGAATGCTGGGAAGAAGGGTTTCACATGGCAGAGGCAAAGGGAGCCCCAGAGAAGCTGAATGGGTTCTCAAAGAGAGAAGAGGCCATTAAAGCTGAGAACAAATGTGCTGAGAGTAGCTGTAGGTAGCAGTCCAGGTTTATATTCTGTTAGAACATTATTTTACTGTGAATACTAAAAATCAAATGCCCATAAGATAAACACAACACCTACCACATTCTTACATTTTCAAAGCCTGCCAAATTACATGACAAACTTCCTAATGGAGAGAAGAGATGGTTTTGAAGAATTAACATGGATATTTAAATATGCATTGTGTTTTAGAGCATTGTTTCTCATCACATTTCAGGTATTGCATTTGTTTTTATAACTAAGCATTTTATTACTTTGGGAATAATAATAATAATAATAATGTGTTTACTTATGTGAAGAGCACAAATTTTCCTAAAACACTAGCAGCAGCAGTCAGCATTTAACAATGCTCTAAACAATCATTTTCATAACTTCTCTTTAGGGAACTACATTTTAGGAATAGCAAAATTTTGGTGAAAATAAAAGTAAAATGGATAAGGTGAAAATTAGTGAGAAATTGCCTGGTGAATAGCTAACATATGCTGCTTCCAGAGTTTAAATGCACTGACTTCAAGGATCAACTTTTACTTATGGCATACTTTAGGAACCTCCTTTGGGAGCAGGGTGCTTACTACACATAACAAAATATATTCTGCCTCTATATTTATACATGATAGCAATCATATAATACATTTAAGTGTTTATTGTAAGCTACACGCCACCTATGGGAGGTAAATAATACCCTAAATTAATAACTGAGATCACTTTTTTGGAGAAAAGTAATCTGATCTGATCCAGGAAATAAAGAAAATTGATATGGAGAAGGTAATACACAGATAATATAAAGAAGACCTAGGTAGAAGGCATACCAATATGCCTCAGATATTAGCAATAAAAAACCACCATAAGAAAAACAAATGTCTCAGAATGGAAACGGCAAAATATTTCAACATATATTTCATCAAAGATGCACTGCTGGAAAAAAAAACATGAAACCCATTTAAAGCACTGAGTATCATTTAATTATTATGGGAATACAAATGAAAAACACAAAGAAATACTAGTATACCTATAAGCTGTTGAATATTAGGAGAGTATGGTGATAGTGAATGAGTAAGTAATAGGGGACAGGGAGTCACTAATTTGATTAAAGCATGATATATACAGGTGAAACCCCTTGGACTATCAGTATACACTTTTTTTCTTTTTTTTTAATTGCTTTATTATTCATATGTGCATACAAGGCTTGGGTCATTTCTCCCCCCTGCCCCTACCCCCTCCCTTACCACCCACTCTGCCCCCTCCCTCTCCCCTGCCCCCCTCAATACCCAGCGGAAACTATTTTGCCCTTATCTCTAATTTTGTTGAAGAGAGAGTATAAGCAATAATAGGAAGGAACAAGGGTTTTTGCTGGTTGAGATAAGGATAACTATACAGGGAGTTGACTCACATTAATTTCGTGTGTGTGTGTGTGTGTGTGTTACCTTCTAGGTTAATTCTTTTTGATCTCACCTTTTCTCTAGTTCCTGGTCCCCTTTTCCTATTGGCCTCAGTTGCTTTTAAGGTATCTGCTTTAGTTTCTCTGCGTTGAGGGCAACAAATGCTAGCTAATTTTTTAGTATACACTTTAAAAAAAATGAATGGCAGGAGGGTAACATAAGTCTTTTCGCCAGGGGCCAGTGGCTCTTGACTGTAATCCTAGTTTCTCAGGAGGATCGCTATTAGAAGCCAGCTCAGGCAAAGAGTTCAGAGACCCTATCTTGAAAAACCCTTCAGACAAAAAAACAGGGCTGGTGGAGTGGCTCAAGGTGAAGGCCCTGAGTTCAAGCCCCAGTTACTGCAAAAGATAAATTAATTAATGAAATAAAATTTAAAAATAGGTCTTTTCTGGGGTTAGTACCAGAGGAACAGGGTTGGGTATAAGAAAAGGGTGAAAGAGGGTGAAAATGGTGAAGGTATTTTGTATTCATATGTGAAAATAGAAAAATGAAACCTATTCAAATTGTTCTAAAAGGAGGGGAGGGCAGAAGAGGGAGAAAAATGAAGGGGGTAAATCTAAGATATATTATAAACACATATGTAAATATCACAATGTATCCTTATGTACAACTATTATATGCTAATAAATTTTAAGAGAAACAACAAATGTAAAATGGTCTAAACACTTTAAAAAACAGTTGTTAAAAAGTTAAGCATATTCTTACCATTCAATCCAGCTATTCCACTACAAGGTATTTACCCAAGAGAAATGAGAGCACGTGAACTCACAAAGACAAATACAGGAATGTCTGTCACAGCTTTATTTTTATAGCCAAAAGCATAACCAACCAAAATGTACATCTGCAGGAAAAAGGACAAATTGTGTTAAATTTACATGTTATACTACTCAACAATAAAAGGAAGTAACCATTGATACAGCTGTAACAAATCGATCTCCCATTATTCTGAGTGAAGGGAACTAGACCTAAAGGAGTACTCACTGCTTATTCTAATTACAGTACATGGAAGTCTAAAAAGGATAAACTTGTGCATGAGGAAGAATGCAGATCACAATGTGTGCAGTTCTAGAAGTATACAGTGAGGCAGAGAGGATCAGGATCAGTTTTTGTCAGGAATGGGATGAGGCAGGGAGAGGCAGACAGGGATTGCAAAGGAGACTGGGTGTTGAATATGTCATCTGCATTTAGGCGATAGTTTCTCAGGTGTATACAGTCAACTATCAAGTTGGGACAAGTATCTGCAGTTTATTATGTCAAGTATTCCTTTGTATAGCCGCTTAAATGTGTGTGTACTTTTACATGTCTGCGATATACATTCTTCACTACTTTTTAGTAAGTGAGAATTAAAAACATTTAAACAATGATTATCTCTGGGTAGAAAAGGAATTGAAACCAATTTGAATTTTCTTCCATGAGATCATCATTTTCTTAACATTCTACAAGTTTATATCCTCCTTTAAGACTAAATGTTCTTTAGAATTTAATATTTAAGGTTCCTTAAAATATGTATCTATGCATTAACAAGAGATGGAAAGTAAAATTAAGTTAACAGTTTGTATTTCTTCCTACTTTTCTACAATAGCGGTTCTTTCCAATAAAGGTAATTTTATGTTTAAAAAAATACGTGTTTTAAAAGAGAGCACTGCCTTGTCACACACACTTGAAAAGTCGTCCACTATACCGGGAATTAAAATAACCAGGAAGTGTTTTGATGTGGACCTTGGCTCTCACGGATACATTACTAATGACTTTGTTTCACCCCTTTCACTGACCTCCTCCCTCTGCCACTCCTTGGTCCTTGAACAGGAAAGACAGGCAAGGGAGGCAAGGACAGCTCAGTCCTTCTTCTGCAGTCGCAGGGTCCACTCTCGGGACAGCATTGTTCACAGGTAAATCAATCACAAACTCCCAAGAGCAGACATCTCGCACTGAGGATGTCTCTGCCGCCCGCCCCGCCGTGGAACTCGGTGTGGAGAGAAGGGCGTGTGACGCGGTCGCGGTCGCCTAAGCCCGCGTTCTGATTCACACCTGTCGCGCCCGCACAAGACCGCGCTGAGCTCGCCTCGCCTCAGTTTCCCCACTTCCGTCAGGACGAGCATGCTGTCCTGTTTCAGGTTCCTCTCCAAGCACGTGGGCCCTTCGCTGCTGTCCCTGGGCACCGCTCCACGCAGCCTCGCGCCCCCGGAGCGCAGGGCCGCCCCCGGCCCCTGGGGTCCCTGGGGTCCCTGGCCACCCTTCCCCCGACGCCCGCTGGCCGCGGCTGCCGCCTCCGGGGACCGCGCTGGGCCTGCCCGGGTGCGCCAGAACTTCCACCCGGACTCCGAGGCCGCGGTCAACCGCCAGATCAACCTCGAGCTCCACGCGTCCTACGTGTACTTGTCCATGGCCTACTACTTCTCCCGAGATGACGTAGCCCTCAACAGCTTCTCCAGGTATTTCCTTCGCCAGTCCCTGGAAGAGCGCGAGCATGCCGAGAAGCTGATGAGGCTGCAGAACCAGCGAGGAGGCCGGATCTGCCTACAGGACATCAAGAAGCCGGACAAGGATGACTGGAAAAGTGGGCTGCATGCCATGAAGTGCGCTCTGCTCCTGGAAAAGAATGTGAACCAGGCCTTGCTGGATTTGCACACTCTGGCCTCAGACAAAGGTGATCCCCATTTGTGCGACTTTCTGGAAACCCACTATCTGAATGAGCAGGTGAAGTCTATCAAGGAACTAGGTGACCACGTGCACAATTTAGTTGCCCTGGGGGCCCCGGATTCTGGCCTAGCAGAGTACCTTTTTGACAAACATACACTTGGAAATGAAAACAAGCAGAACTAAGCTGTCCTTCCCATAGTCCTGTGGGTCCCAAGACCTGAAATCAGCTATCTCCTACTTTCTTGCCCTTAAAATTCACCTTCATCTTTAAATTCTCCTTCTATTATACTGCTCTTCCAACAGTGATTTGTAGAGAAAATACTTATGCCCATGTTAACAAAAGCATTCTGCCAGCATCAAGATACTTTTTCCGAGCCTAAAACATAGCCAGGGATACTATGATACGAAAAGGACTGCAGAAAATGTACTGAAAGTAGTTGCAGCAAACTTTGTCCAGGTACTAAACACTACTCCTTACCATGAACCTAAAAGACAAAGAACATATAGTGTACCATAAAAATCACACATGTACCATTCTGTGATGTTTACCTTTTCCCAGTGCATTCCAAGAAATAGTAATGCTACAGATCTGCATTTTAAAAGATTTCATCATCAAATTTGGGATACATCCAGTATCAGTGTTAATGTTAGCCTTGGAAAGTCACAGTGTATATTCAAATTGTAAGGGCTGTGAGAAGTCTTGCAGTTAAAAACAGAAAAACAGAAGGAAAAAAACTTGAATTGTTCTGGTTTTTGTTTCAGTGTTTCCCAATCATATGAAATCACTGATTGTTTTGTTTTTGTTTTTTGTTTGCCTTTTTAAAGAAAATAATGATAATAGAACAAAGCAGGCTGTTTGGTTCCATACTTCACACACTTCACCACTGGGCTACATAGCCTCCCTTTTAACTTACCCCAAGAGAGTGAAAACACTGCATAAAGCCGCGTTAGAATGAAAAGCATGGGAACAGTGGAGTGGAAAAAGTCAAGAAACATCTTAATGAGGGCATGTGTAGTAGATGGGTCATTGTGTCAGCACAGGCTTTATTCAAGAACGAGAGCCTGTGGAGGGGCTATCCAGCAAGACCCTGGAGCCCACTGCCCCTATCACATTGCGGGTGGATATAGGAGAATAAAGGGAAAGTGCTGGGAAACCCATTAGACCAAGAAAATTTTTATGGTTGGCTTGTTGCTAGGGGTAGTTAAGAGACATAAGTGGTGATTAGGTCAGGTGGATTTCTATCATTCTTTGAGGCCAGGTGTGATCTTTCCAATAAGTGGTAGGGTGTTTCCAGTGAACTGTCTGAGAGGAGGAGGGGGAGGGCAAATGTTCCTAACATGGCAGCCCCTATGTTCACCCTAACAGGAAGTATCTTACCTAGGAGATGCTTTTTTGGAGGGGAAGAGATGAGTAGGAGAGTAGCTGACAAACAAGCATTGAGTTGGAATAGAGTGTGTGATGGTTGGAAAGACAAGCTGGGAAGAAGGAGCAAAGGCACGGCCTTCAAGGGTTCCCAACAGAAGAAAAATGTGTTAAAAACTGAGCAATCAGAAGCTTAATCTGGTTTTACTGAATAATAATCTGAAAACAATCCAAACATCTATGGTTATTTTGGATCTCTGAGACACAGACGCCAAAATGGGATTAAGTGTAGAGGGGAAACTAAAAGGCCTCTGAGAGAAAATGGGAAAGAAGCTGGAAGAAGCAAGGAGAGTCATTTAAACTTCAAAACTCTTTCGCAGTTTCTCCTCTAGTTTGGAGAAAAAGAAAAGAGTAAGATCTTAACTATGCCTCACAAGGTTATCAGGATCTGAGCTCCTGATATATTTTGACTTTATGTACTCTGTGTGTATATCACACACAATGTTACAGTCTTACCACCGATCTCTCTCTCTCCTTCTAACACACACACACACACACACAACACACACACACACACACACACACAAGGCTCAGAAGGTATCACTATCAGTTTTGAGAGCATTTGTTATCTCTATAATGAGAACGAGAAAAAAGGAGGAAGTGGAAAACGAGGAAGCGTCTTTTGTGACTCTAGTCCCATTTGCCCCCTGTACCTCAGGGCCTGCTCCCTCTGTGAGGAACATTTTGCCTCAAACATGAACATAGTTGACTCTCTCACTTCCTTCAGATTTCTTATTGTCAGTCATTGTATATAGAGACTTTACAATTTTCCAGTGTAAGTTACATTTCCCATCACCTTTTTCCTATTACTTGATTTACTTTTCTCCATAGCACTTACCACCATCTGACACATTTTTTTGTTGTTTGTTTGCTTATACTGCTTCTCTCAGAAGAACTTAAGCTCTGTGGGCCAGGGTGTTTTGCTCACAACTGTTTCATGGCTCTCGAGCAGTACCTGTCCCCTTATAGGTCTGCAAAGTAAACGAATGAATAAGTATAAGAACAATTTTAAAATATCCTAAACTAACTGAATATGCTTGACCTGGACTTTTCAAAAAGTCAGTGTCAGAAAAGTGAATCTGGAAGTTACCCATGTAGAGATATATGAAATTGAACTTACAAAACAAGCAGGTGACAAAAGAGACAGAGATGGGCCCAAAAATAGGAACTTAGAAAATTGGAGAAGTTCTAGATTTAGAGGAGATTATATAAAAAGAACCCTCAAAAAGAATCAGAAAAGGAACATAAAAGTATCAAGACAAAACTAATTTAAAAAATAAATAAAACACTGGTCTTCAAGCCTTGAGAGAAAGTTTCCATGAGATGCTGTAGAGTTCACTGAGTTGTGGACTGAAAGGCCATCAGAGCTAGTCATTGGCAAGTCAGTGGTTACTTCAGAATCTTCAGAGACAGAATGCCAAAGAGATTTAAGGCAAATGAGGTGGAGAACATAAAATTCCCTTTCAGGAAGTTTTTTCTTTTTAGGTAATCAAAGACACAAAAGGTAGAGGATGGTTGTACAAATTGTTTACCAAGGAAAGAAGCCAGCAAAAAGGAAACACTTGAGACACAAGTGATTAAAATAAGTTTCCAGGAGAGAATGCAGCACAAGATAAAGAGTTCAGGTAGGACCTGGAAGGATCTGTCCTCACAAACCAGTAAGCAAAAACAGGGAAGAAACAGCCTACACTAAAATGAGAGGAGGGCAAATGGAGGGTTTTGACATTAACTGAGCTCAAATTTCTAAATAAAGTAACAAATGGGATCATTCACTGAGACATGGCTATCACTACACAAAAATATTTTAATAAATTTTATAGATATTATTGCAAAAAGTAAGCAAATATAAGTTATTTTACAGAAGGGGAAATAAGGCTATATCTAATATTTAAAGCAAACACTAGAGCTTTCACAATTTAAAATACATGTACTTCTGCTGTTTACCAGTGGCTCACACTTGTAATCAGGAAGCAGGGATCAGGAAGGTCATGGTTAAAAGCCAGCCTGGGCAAATAGTCCACAAGCCAGCCTGGGTAAATAGTTGTGTATCTCGAAAATACCCAACACAAAACAGGGCTGGTTGGAGTAGCTCAAGTGGTAGAGTGCCGCCTACCAAGTGTAAGTCCCTGAGTTCAAATCCCAGAACCACTAAAAAAAAAAACATGCACTAGAAATTGAACCAAACTGATGGCAGATTTCTAAACAAAAGCCCAATACTCAGAAAGAAACGATTCTAAACCCTGAGTATGATAATAGAGTATATTACTTTGGAAGAGAAATACCCATCCATGCAAAAATCCAAGCCTTGCAGGAAAATACATAGCATAGGTCCCTTACACTAGTAGCATCTGAAAATCATCATCGTTTATATTGAACTGTGAGTTGGGTTTTGAGCAGTTCAGTTAGAAGGGCAGAGGGTCCTTGGAGAAACACTTGGTCTGTATACCAAAACCTCCCAGAACAAAGATCGACTGTGTAAGAGTGAGTATAAGAGTATATGGGATTTAACTTTAAAAGTCTGAACATCAGTATCAAGCTGATGAAAAAACACTCAGCACTTTCATTGTAACAAATCAAATAAGAGAATGCTCGGTATCATAAGACACTCTTTCCAAGATTGCACCATAAGATTCACTGTGTGCATCCAGAAAACAGACAAAGTTGCTAATCAGAATTGGCAAGTTAATTCTCTCTCCTTACAACAAACTGTTAAGCAGAAACTTTCTAGCAGCATTCAGTTTATGAAATCAAAAGTGTGGACAGGTTCTGGGAGTATTGTTAGTTTTCTAAACATCATATTTATGACACTTAGTAAATATATTTGTTGATGAATAAGTGAATGAATGTGGTGTATGGGTGTGCGGGTGGGTGTGTACATGCACACAGACACAAGCACATACGTACAGATGGAATTCTAATGCCCTGTGAGGAGCAACGCCAAAGAACAAATCACAGCAAGCACTCAGGGCTGGGCTCTTTCCAAGCAAGCTTGCCAATTTCCTGGTACACAGTGGCCGAACATTCTCCTGAGAGAAATAGCTAATACCTGCACTGTCGGTTCACATTTTCATAGGCAGAAAGAGCAAAAAGAATTTCCACACCATAAAAGGACTGTCAGACTACTTAAAAGCAATTGCATGACCTATACACAGATTCTGTAGTGTAGCACAGTAAGAGCCTGCCCTTGGGAAGACTGAAGACCTAGATAAAAATATAGTAAAATGCCCTTATTCACAGATTTGTAAATAAAGTTTTGACCAAGCACATAGTAAAAAGATAATACATTTTTAAAAATCAAGGGGGAGTGGCACAAGTGGTATATACTTGCCTGGCAAGTGCAAGGTCCTGAATTTCAACTCCAGTACCACAAAAAAAAAAAAAAAAAAATCAAAAAAATTCCTGCACATTCCATAGCCAAGTCAATGTGGGGAATTTCTCATTCAGTCTGTGTTACCCTCAGCTGTGTTTAAATCATTGTGTGATCTCTTGCCTTTAATTTTGTGAAAATTTGCCTTCCAAAAAGCAGACGGTACCCCAAAAGCAAGTTAAAAGTGAATGTGCTTAATTTAACTGCTGAAGTGAAAATCTGATGTTTGTTGAAAGGCCACATGTCTCTTGCAGAAGTTGGGCAGCATTCTCGGGAAAATGAATCCAGCATCCGCAGCACAGCACTGAACTCTGCGTCCTGAGCCTGTGTGGCGCTTTTCCTCGGAACCATAGGTTGGGGGTGTCAGGTCTACAGCAGTTGTTTCACCACATACTGAGTGTTATTTGGAGGAAAACATTAACCTTCAAGATCAATTTCCTCCACTGCAATTACGTACCTCGATTTCTTGTAAGGATTAAATGAAGAGCAGAATACTGTCCAGTCTGTAGTGAGTGCTCAAATGTTAGCTGCTTAGCATTTGTGTTTTTAAAGGAAAACACATGGTGTAAATATTCTGGCTGCATTGTGTCTGTGAACATTTTTGTTGGAATATGCACAGACTATCTTGGGGAGGATGATGTTAGTTGCCCTCAACAAAGAGTCTGGTATTTTGGAAAAAGGGCAACAGTAAGATTTTTCATTATCCAGCCTTTTGTAACTGTTGAATTTTTAACCACTTGAACATTCACCTATTCAAAAACTATTAAAATACAAATATAGCAAATAAAACAGCTATTATTAATTTTACTCACTTTTAAACAGTGCA